TTTATATAAAAATCTTTATATAGTTTGCATAACAATGGTCTTTTGTTAAAGTGTTCTTTAGCTGGTATAAAGACGTATGCACGTGACTAATTTCTTACTCAAGATTGGATAATTGCTTCATGAATTATTAATGAGTTTTTGAAGTACTATTTAAAAAACGAGCAGGAGTGTTTTATTAGGTTTAAAGCCACAAGTGCGGAGTGCGAGTGGCTTTAGACCTAATAAAACACGACCTGCGAGTTTTTTAAATGGCTTCAAAAACGTATGCATAATAAGGCAAATCTTTATATAAAAATCTTTATATAAAAATCTTTATATAAAAATCTTTATATAGTTTGCATAACAATGGTCTTTTGTTAAAGTGTTCTTTAGCTGGTATAAAGACGTATGCACGTGACTAATTTCTTACTCAAGATTGGATAATTGGTTCATGAATTATTAATGAGTTTTTGAAATTCTTTTAAAAGGTCTTGTTGTTCTTGTACTGTAGTCAACAACTCTGTTTCGAACAGAGAGCAAACTTGTTTGAGCTCCAGTTCTTTATACTGTTGTTCTTTATGCTGTTGTTGTTCTTCATTGCCGTTTGTTTCTTCGTGAGCAGCTTGCTCTCGAGTCAAGGACCCAAAAGCCCCATGGCAAAGTCTTTCAATTTGATATCTGTGGCCCTCTTCCTTCCGGTGACATGCTACTCGTGGAAATCGATGAATACTCCCGCTATCCCGAGGTTGAAACTGTATATTCCACATCCGTAACTACCATCATCCCATCACTTGATAGTATTTCTATCCACCCACAGTATTCCAGCTAAAATCAAATTTGACAACAGTCCTCATCACTCTTGAGTGGCCAAAAGCTAATTCCGAATGTGATCGCCTCATGTGCACACTTCAAAAAACCCACCGTTCTGCCCACTTTGAAGATAATAATTGGAAAAACTATGGTGCCACACCTCATCCCACAACCGGACTTTCCCCCGCCACCAAGCTTCTTTTTGGATGCGAGCTTTCCGTGAAATTACCTGAACTTGTTCAAACCTAGCCATCACACTCTTTATTCACACACAAGGACTGTACACAAAAGGAGAAGATATATGGAGATACTGTGGGAAAAGCAAAGCCTCATACGCTTCGTGTTGGTGACATGGCCCTAGTGTGTCAAAAATGCCAAACCAAATTATCATCTCCTTACAACAAACACCCATGCACCATAACTCAAATCAAAGGTAGTATGATCACAGCATGAAATGCTGCTGGTAACCACGTCATCACACACAACTGTTTGCAATTCAAACAAGTCCACCTATCCATCCACCATCTAAACGCTCAACATGACGGTCTTCATGATGAGATGACTGCTCCAATTGTTGTTCCAATACCACAGTGCCCAGCAAAAAGAAGATATCCTACTAGTGAGAACAGGCAACCTCCAGAGCATCTGCAAATTGAATATCATCATTAATGTTTTCTAAATACACCATAGGCTTTTTGAACACTATGTACCTCTGACTGATTAGCCTATTATGATAATTGTTATTTGTCTATTCTGTTCAGTGACAGATGAACTCCTATCCAAAAAAGGGAGGGATGTAATGATGTGACGTCATATGCATGTATGATGTAACTTCTATCAATATTATCACCAATTATCTCGCTTTGAACTAGAATTTATATTATAAGAGTATTACATAAACGAATGACATTCATGGTTTGAATTCTCAAATAAAAGGTTGGGGCATGTGCTTGTGCCTCTTGGTGGTAATAACTAAAATGTCAAAACTGGGAAGCTTTAAAGTTCCATCATTCATTTCACTCATTAAGAAAAGACAAATCATGTGGTTTGCCAACATTTAGCTGAAATTCATTAAGAAATGTGGAGGAAATTGGCAGTGGTAGCTATGAATCTATACACCATGCAATTTATGAGAAGGTGGCCTGGGTTTTTAGGATTCACAGAAAATGATGGAATATGTGATGTTTGATTTTCAACCCTTTGGAATTGACAAAAGCATAACCAATATTGGAGAGTTCTACCACTTCATTGATGCATGATGAATTTGATTTCCAATTGTTCACTGATGTTCTAATCTTGTCATCTGTATTAGGGATGTGGTAAACACACTCAATTATCTCCACAAGCACAGTATCGCTCATAGAGACTTAAAACCTGTTTACACATGGTTTGGTCTCCAACCAGCACTACTGCCAGAAGGACGAAGATATGTTTGCATGCATCTATGCTAATTGCCCAATTGTCTGCAACATTACAGATTTTGGCTTTAGTAGATCTTTAAATATCCAAACACAATCTATCCTACAATCTTAGACAGAAGATGTTTGCTGTGGCACACCAGTAACATTCACCACAATACCTTGAAAGTCAAACCTCGAGGATTTGAACACTTGCATAATAGTGACATGCCCACTATACATGATAGTAGGAGTTATGTAGGTTGCTTTCGAACGAAATAGTGGCTGATTTTGCTTTGAATATGAAATGGCAGATTTTAACACTTGCTTGTATCCATCACTAACTTTCATCTACTGCAAAACAACCAGGCAGGTGTAGTAATTTCATGAAGTTCTGTGCAATAATGGAAAACAGAATGCGTTGATAAATTTACGAATATGTTCTATAGAATCCTGTAGAATATGGTATAGAATATGGTATAGAATATTCTATGGAATTTGCGATCCTATAGAATATTCTATTGCCATATTACATAAAACATCCAGATCCTATAGAATATTCTATTGCACACATTCATATGAAATATCCAATAACATATTCTATAGAATATTTTCTAATGAAACATAGTATAGGATATTTCATACAATATATCATAGAATGTGATAAACCTATTAACTTAAGCCTAATTTATACTGAATACGTTATTACTTATACTTTATAACAATATTTGTGTCCCAAAAATTTACAGTACACAGCAAAAATAATATTAATATTTAGAAAAATGTTTCCTAAGAAATCTGTTTTTTCAAGACAATTTGTTCTTGAAATAAGAATATTTTTTTTAATAATAACGAATATTTTTTTAATTAAGATGTTTTTTTATGATTTCTTAATCTTCATTTAAAATAATTTTCTTATACAATATAAAATATTATAATATAGCATTTGTAAATTCTGAACGCTGATTGGCTAAGAGCTGCGTTGATATAACTCAATGTCAACATGGAAACGTTGGAGAATTTCATTACTGTGAGCTGTCATCGCTGTCGGTTGTGCCTACTGAGCTCCTCAATAAAGTTTGATACCATGAAATAAACTCGCTATTGACTGTCCAATTTATTATTTCATTACAATTGACGATATTTCCTACAAATTATGTACTCGAAGTAAGTTATAGTTAAAAATAGGTACGCTGTGCGTACATGTTGCAAGCCAAATGAGTTTTGAACTTAGGGAAATACGATGATGTCGATTTTACAATTGATGTGTGATTGCAGTTGGAATTACCGTTTGACTGAAGCCCATATAGCTTTATGATCACTAAAGTAGGTTTCAAGAATGCCAGCATTAATTTCTTCCTCAATCAAATTTGTATATAAATTATCAATTAATGTTCTGTTATCTGTTGTAAAAGATGATATTAATTGTCGGTACTCATTTTCTCTAAGCATTAGGTTGTAAAGCGATGCCGGTCAGTTTCCGCCATCCAGTTAATATTAAAGTCTCCAATGAATATGTTTTGTGAAGAGGAATCTTTATGAAGAATAGTTCGAAGAGCAGAAAGTAGGCGTGATGAAGCAATACTGGGAGAACGATACAACCCGATTATAGTCAGGTTTGGATGACTTTCGGTTTTGATAATTGTAAACTCAATTCCATTAGTGTTGTGAGCATATGGATAACCTTCTTTTAAAGGGATTTGGCTATAAACAGCTGTTCCACCATATGGTCTTCCAGGAGCAGAAAATTGAGAAATATCGTTTCTAAATAGTCTGTAACCATTTATATTGTACATTTCATCAGGGTCCAATGGGCTAAACCTTGTCTCAGTAAATATTACAATGTCAGTTGAGGAGTAATTGATGTCTTTCCGAACGTCTTCAATGTGTTTATGCAGAGATCGTGCATTGAGGTAACAGACTTTTAAATCAGAATGATCCAACATATACAATGGTGCAAAACAAAGTTTTAAGCTACGTTCAATTCGTAACATTTCAATTTCTTTGACAACTCTTTGATCAACAGATATTTTATTTTCACATAGATCAGTGATATATAACTCTTCAATTGTCGTAACTCGACTTAAAGCAACATAATGTATATGAGGAATAGTCCTGTTAGTATTTAAGTTTACAACAATTTGAGCCTGAGTATCACCTTGTGATCTATGTACAGTTTTGGCTGATGCTGGCCGTAATGGAAATTGTTTCCTGACAACTTGAGCTGATTTAGTTTTGCCCACTGCAAATTGTGTTGTAACAGGTTTTATTGGTGTCCACATACTTTCAATACCTGTATGATAAAGATTTCTGTTTTCCTGTCGGGTTATTTTCCCAACATCTTCACAGTCAAATTGGACCCAAATCACAGTCAAATTGGACCCAAACAAGACCAGATGGTTTACTTTTGTCTCTTAACTGTATTAACTTTATTATATTACTACAATCCTGGTCAAAAATTCTTGGCGCACTTAGTCCAAATAGCATAACCTTTACTTTATTTCTGATTACCATATAAATACTTGCCCATTTTATGCAAAATTTCTTGTCCAAACTCCCCCTATCCCCCTTATCAATGTTGTGTAACACCTTGGACGTATAACACACTACAGACAACATTGAACGGGGGAAAGGGGGGTTGCTATGCTTGTTATTGAAGTGGGGTCAAATTTCGCACAGTCAGTGTCAAGCGCGCCAATATTTTTGACCAGGATTGTCCGAATATAACAATGAAACTAAAATTTATGTACATATATAATTTTGACTCAGAATGTGCCGAAGCATTATTTACGTGTTTTACACATATATTAATTGGGAGGCGTGTTCTAGATGATATTGTTGGTTGTTATTGAAAACCTAGCGTGCGCGTCGTAATGTTGATAATTATGACGTCATACGGGGGGGGGGGGGTTACTACGATTCATGATATTCCCGCACACGTATATTAAGTGAGGCTGGCTAAAAAATAAAATTGAATTATATACATTTCGATAATTAGATTAATTTAAGCATGATTTACACAAGAAAAATCACAGAAAAGACAAGGGCTTTGGTACTTTATTATAGAAAGGAATCAGGTTTTTCGAATAGGGAGATCGCGAGAAAATGTCATATAAGCCTTTCATCAGTAGCAAGAATATTGAGGGAAGACCAACAACCAGCTGCGCTGAGATCGAAACAGTCCAAAGGCAACAAGGTCGCCCAACAAAAGTTGACGAGCGATCGTAATTGTCGCTATTTTGAAAGGATGGGAAAGGTGTTTCTCTCAAAGTTCCCTATGAGAAAATGAATGGCAATTTCTTTACAGAGTTGATTGGAAAGCATTTTAATACTTGTTTTCCAAAGTGCGGACATAAAAACAACAATCATCACCTGTTTCTCATGGATAATGACCAATCACAAACGAGTAAAGCAGCGCGAAAAGCAATTGACAAAATCGAGGCTAAATTTCACAAGATTCCGGCCAGATCGCCTGACCTGAAGCCGATTGAAAATGTCTTTCACTTGGTAAAGAAAAGTCCCGAGAATGAAGCAATTGCTAATAATATAACGTAAGAAACGTTCCAAGACTTTTCAGCACAGGTTTTAAAATCCTTGCAAAATCTGTCAATCGATGTAATCGATCGTACTATTTCAAGCATGTCAAGTAGAGTAGATGCTGTTCTTAAAGCAAGAGGAAATCGCATAAAATACTAGGAGTCCTATCTTTTACTGTTATATATGGTAATTCAAGGCAGAGTAAGGGCAGTATAGATCAAAATAGGTGTAGCCATTTTCGCAAATAGGCAATTAGCTTGCTGTCAACCAGTAGATTAAATGCTAAGTACAATTTACACGTCTTCACAGCGTGACTCCAATGGTGCAGCAACGCAAAATTACAAACATTGTTCCCTTGATATGTCCTAATTACTTGCCAAGGATGCAGAAATTTTTGTTTTCGGATACACAAAGTGGTTTGCATTACTTGAATAAATGCATTTATTCATTATAAAATCTTATTTAGGTCATTATTGCTAAATTAAGAACAGTACTCCACAAACTTGGCTTAAATTCCTTGACTATCTGACTGAATTCTTTAGGAAAATGGGGAGCACTGTTCAAAATCATGCAAGATATAGTTATAATTTATTTATTTCGAAGCGCATAAGTTGACCATTAACTCATTCTCATCCTGTCGAAAAGTATCAATTTCTAGTGGTGTTGTTTCAAACGCTTATATCTTTCAAATTATACATCGCACGGAAACAGAAATTGCATTGTTTGAAAGAGGAGGACTTCTGCTTTCCAACGATACCAATCTCAATTTCATCCGGAGCTTGGTTAACGATTTACTCGCATAAATTTGCATAAATTATGATATAAAAAAATGTTGCAATTATGCATAAATGTATTTAGCGGTTCAAATTTCAAATATGTCAAAAAATTTTATGAATACGACTGAAAGACACGGTTATGATCTACAAGTACCCGAAGTTTCATGCATGTAGCATAAATAGAAATATTTTTATTGAATTTTTATATAAACTAGGTAGTGGAGTAAAATTTACATTTTGTGCTCACATGAAACAAATACATTTATCAAAGGTCCTTTTTTATTGCTGCAACATGTTATCAATACAAATTTCCAATATTTCTTACTCTCCAAAGATAGTATGGCACCAAAATAAGTCTGTTATACCCACAAAAGAACACTCAAATCATGATTAGCAAAATGTCTTTATTTCTACAATTACTACATACATTCTTAGATAATCATTACACCATTGACTTTAGTTATTAGTGGCATAACCAGCCTCAAAATTTGAAATAAACACTACTCATTTGTTTAGAAATTGATTGTTTTCACAATCTAGAACATGAAAATATTTGCAAATAGCATGACCAAGTGTTGTTGGGCTGGCATCATCATAATTAGTAGTTATAAAAAAGTAATGTTTTCCAAGGCAGTAATGTTTGCTAAAGCAGTAATGTTTGCCAAAGCACATAATTGGATTATGTGGTGAAAATATTTCCTTTATATTGTACTACAAAAGACCTAAGACTGTAACCAAACTGATATCAGATCACCACGTCATACCCAAATCTGTTGCGATAAATATCTGGACTTCTTCCTGTATAAATTTCAAAGTCGCAATATAACCATTAGGATTGTCTGCAGCAACCCACAGATTTATTCCCCACATAGTAGGTCATCTAGCTTTCATGAACTGCCTAACCCCCAACCTATTTCTTGATTTGACAGTGTGTTTGTCTGCAACAACAATATTCTGTGACAGCTGGTACAGTTGTTGATGCAGTTTATTGCTGTAGTCTTTAGTACAGGATCTACCATATTCACAAACGCCATAAGCGCTTTGTACCTAACCCGCGAAATTATGTCTATTGCCCACAGACCATGATATAAGGTTTTTGCACTCCAATAATTTTCAATCTCACTGTCGACCTTTAGCAAACCTGCATATTATACTAAAAGGCAATCAACCTCTCAAGGTTGGTGGACTGCAAGACCCTTTTTTATTAGTATATGGGGATAACTTTTGAGTTATTTGTATGTGGGCATATGTATTGGTATGGCCAGGAAACTACCTCCTGAAGCATTCCCTTAGTAAAAAAGAGTCGAATGAACTCAAGCTCACAGTTCATTGAGCCGAATGAACTCAAGCTCACAGTTGATCGAAATGGATCCTGGACATGTCAGTGAGGAGCAAAATCTGGGAGAACATTCCTGGCGTCAGGATCATTGGGATCATCATATCCGTCATGTACTATGGGGCCTAGTGGGGATGCTAGACAGGGAGCTTTCGAAACCTTAGGTCCTAATGGCTGGGCTTCCCTCTACCTCTACTCATCCCCCTACCTTCCCTCTGGGTTGGTGAGTGGGGTTCTCATGACTCATCAGAACTCTACTTCCCTGAGGCTATGAAACAGGAACAGCAGATAGGAACAGGATCAATATATTCGTCAGTGCAAATAAAAACTTTTATAGACATGGTGCCACTTAAAATTATAATAAGAGCCAACTAGTAAGATATAAGTATGAATACTTGGCTATTATGTATGTGACAAACAACCAAACATGTGCTCAAGGCTTATTGTGGCCTAGGAATCAGAGATTTTTATGCCTAAAACACCATAAATTTTCGTCAACAATATAAATAAATACCATTTATATTTATCAATTTCAGTATGAAACGATTATTTCAACACAAAAAAGCGATATGAGGACATACTTGGTCGTACTAGTGAAGCTATACTAAATACAAATAAATTTACAACGCCATGGCAACGGCAAAACAATTGAAATAGAAATTGTCTAGAAATGATACAAATACTTGCCTTGAAACTCCAGACACGACTCCCAATGCCAGGTTGAGATACTTTTTGCAAAATAAAGCCAAAAACGTCTTCAGAATGCGATTCAAACAAAACTACAACACAATACATTTCAACGCTCGTGCGTTCCTGTGTGCGATAATCAGGAAAATTGCTCTAAAAGATTTGTTTTTCTGCCTAAGCCAATCAAAATCCGTATCTAGGGTAAACAAACACTCCGGAAGTGATTCCTGCAGTCTTTTACCAGGAAACTGTAATGCTTTACCAAGAATTTGGCGTCCGAAGTTGGCCGAACACTTTCCGATCACGAGAATTGCTATAATAGCACAGAAGATAATAGGCTTAGATTATTTCACAATTTCTCGAGACTGCTCCGAGCTATAGAATGGAAGATGGCGATTCTTTTGGTATATTTGTTATTATTATACGTTGAAAAGAAGCAAAAAGATGAGCATTTGAATCAGGCGGAACATTCAAAATGCAACAGCAAAATTGATAATGTGTCATTTGCATAAATTTCACCGCATTGATCATTTCAAGGTAAGAAATTCGCTTGAAATTGAGCGAGAAACAATAAAATTATATGAATATTTCTGAGTATATAGTATCGATCAAGCGGAATTTTTTGGTGGTATTTTCGTATGTCTACTGCAAATAGTCGCGAAGTTCTTTAATATTTAATCTTCCTGTCATGTACGTCGGAAATTAGTTAAATATCATTATCAAAGATCGTTATATTATTTGCAAATATTAAAATTTAATAGATTTACAATGAATTTTTTGATGGAGTAATGAATGGACCTATGACTTTATGTTATGCATATCTGGGCGTGAAACATTATAGGTTGTAAGTGCTTATTACGTCAATGACTAATGCGATTTAGTTATAACTTGTAATCTGAAAGAAACTTAGCAAAGCGATGTCTACAAGGTATTCACTCATCAAATGTAACTTGTGAAATATATACAAGACCACAAATTACGGCTAAATACTTGTTTCCATCTGATTATATTTTTCAAAATGTGCACATGCCCATAATGTTAATAGATTAAGTACGATTAAAGTGAAAATTCTAAAAATGGATATATGTATGAAATAGTGTACTTTAATATGTCATTATTATTATATTTTATTATTATTATATCATAAATGTTTATTATATATTTAGACGCACGTTATTAATACGCAAAACATTATTAAAGGTTCACTAACGATTCAAGGATTAAGGCCAGTGTATTTTGATGAAATAAAAATAAAAATGTAAGATAATCCACATTCAGACAATCCTGGTCAAAAATTCTTGGTGCACTTAGTCCAAATAGCATAACCTTTACTTTATTTCTGATTACCATATAAATACTTGCCCATTTTATGCAAAATTTCTTGTCCAAACTCCCCCTATCCCCCTTATCAATGTTGTGTAACACCTTGGACGTATAACACACTACAGACAACATTGAACGGGGGAAAAGGGGGTTGTTATGCTTGTTATTGAAGTGGGAGTCAAATTTCGCACAGTCCGTGTCAAGCGCACCAATATTTTTGACCAGGATTGTAGCACCATTTGTAAGACCGTCATCAGTTCGCGCATTAACTGCCATTTCAGTCTGTTATCCTACAACAAGTTTAAGTTTACTAGCCAACTGTTTAGAGTTCCTCAAAGAAACGTAAGGTATTTGTCTCATTATTTTCTCTTTCAGCTCAGCAGAACATGCTCCAATGACACTATCTTGTGCTTTAATTACATATTTATCTCCACTAAACGATTCATATACTTTTTCATTATAGTCATCAACCAAAGCATTTTGAATAAACAAACGTGGAGCTTCTGTAGGACAACTAGATTCGTTAACACATCTTTCTTTCAGTTTTTTGAGGTCACTGGAAGTATCTTTACCTTCTCTTAATCTATTTAAGATCTCAGCAAATTCTGTGCTCTCTCTTTGTCGCATAATTTCATCAAGCTCAAACATTCTGAAATATCTTTTCCATAAATTTGGAGCAAGAATATTATAAGAACTTAAACACTGAACATCAGTGAAAATGTAGCCATCTATGACAGGTTTAAGTTGAAACAAGTCACCAAGTGTAATGATTGCTAACCCCACCAAAGTCTTCTTTACTTCCTTTTAAATCTTTCAAACGGTTATTCAACTGAACTGTGAACATGCTGTTTCCAACCATTGATATTTCATCAAGTAGTATTAACTTTAATGCACCCAGTTTGCATCTAAACGTGTTTAGCCTGCCAGAATCAAGTGGTTTATAATTTTTAAGTGATTGACTTGCTGGAACTGTCAAGGCACTATGAATCGTGTTACCTTTAATAATATAAGCTGCTTTTCCTGTAGGAGCAAGTAATAATATATGAACACGACGAAAATCTTCACCAGCTTGTGCATTATAGTATTTTAATGCCGCTTGATAAACTGATTTAATAAGGTGAGATTTACCAACACCTCCAGCTCCACTTAAAAAGGCATAAAATGGTTTATCAAATGTTTTAATTAAATGCAAAGCATGGTAAAAAAATTCTCTTTGCTTTCTATTAAGCATTTGGAGCAATCCTCGAGATTCATCGTCTTGCATTTCATTTAAAATGAGTGGTTCATTATTTGGTAATGATGATGGGATACCCAAATCCTCAGAAAGATCACAAGTTTCATTCAAATCTGGATGTGTATCTGTATTGCCTTCATCCTGATCTCAACGTTCAGTGTCTTGTGTGACTGGTGCTATTGTGTCATACAGATCGTCATCACTTTCCTGTAAATGATGTTGAATTTCATTCAAATCTTCACTACAAACGGCATATTGTCTCATTTGCTCATTTATCTCATCATACCGAGCTATATAGTGTTCTTGAAATGAATAATTTCTCATTAAATCTGTCTGTTCATTCCTCCATGGAGTAAAGAGCATGATCAACTCTCGATAATGTTTTTCTGGTTGAGTTTCTTTATTAAACCAAACGCTTCGAATAATTCTAGCTTGTGTTCTTTTTTTAATTGATTTTTTAGAAGAAATACAACTTTCAGTGTTTTCATCACAAAGTTCATCATCATTGTTCTCATCTTCATCTTCCAATGGAAGGTGGTCTACATCTGATTTTTTAAGCATTTTTTTTTATATTTTCCTTGTCCACAACAGTCATACCATTCTGCCCAGTCAGCTAATGTAGTATTTTGTAAACAATCTGGTCTTTCAGCATATCGTTGGAGAAGACCACCTGAATGGATTTCTTCCGATTCATCTGACATTTTCTCAATTTCACTTACAGTGAAAATACAAAAAGTGTCCCACTTCTGCTTCTGTAGTTTGTTGTGATTTACTGTAATTTGTTCTGTTTTTCTGTAGCGATTACTGATTTATCGGCAAATACCGCGATAAAACTTAGTTTTCTCTACTTTTTAAATAAGATAATTTGTAGCAAAGGGAAATAATCCATTTTTCGTTAGTTTGATTGCATAAAAGGTACGAAATTTAAATTTTATCGCAGTATTTGCCGATAAATCGGTAATCGCTACAGAAAAACAGAACAAATTACAGTAAATCACAACAAACTACAGAAGCGGAAGTGGGACACTTTTTGTATTTTCACTGCAATGGTTTCAGTAGTTCAAACCGATCACATGATGGGGATGTGTTAACGAACACGACGTTTCGAGAGGACTTTCACATTGGAAGTTGGAGAATGATATACACCGCCTCTTGGGCACTTATTTCTACTGAGTTTCAGAACTTGTTTCCAATATCGCGAACCTGTACCCTGGTTGCCAGAGGTTCTGTATCTTTCGCCTTATTCCCGCTCGTATTTATTTTACGCGAGGCGAAGAGAACCTCTGGTGGCACACGATACAAATCTCTCTTCCATGCTGACGTTGCTGTTTGGGAACTTGCAAAACCGGTTTTATATTTTGTGACGTTTGTAAACTTCCGGGTTTGTCATACTACCAAAATAGCTCTCTTCAGACTGTTTGGCAGCCTTGTGTAAAATATTTAAAATAAGCAGGCCAAACATGTAGATTATTTATTAGAAACATATAGACTATTCTCGCAACGCACAAAGCAAAAAACAACCTCACTTATTGTGGATTGCCGTTTGTATTAGCGAACGTATAAAGTCAAAAGTGAAAGAATATAAACATATAAATATTTATACATATGTGTGCAACAGAGCCAGTATGGTTGTTCTTATAAACAGACAACGGAAAAATATTGGCAAAATAAACCATATTAATAACTATTAAAGTCAAAGAATTAACAAAATTTAAAAGCTTGAACGATAAGCAAGTGACAAACACTTCATATTTTACAAATATTACTACTGTATAGAGTGAACATGTCATGCCGTCGACTCTCAAGTTATGCCGCGATTGCAGCTCTTCTCCAGCGCAGAAAATATTTTTATAGCGGAACAAACTAAGTTAATCTCAAATAACCCACACTGAGTAAGCATTTTAAATTTAATACGTTCGTATTATTTCTGTATTTTGTTTACATCATGTTCTCTGAGATTAATAAACAGGTTTTTTTGTCTAGCCAATCACATCACTTCATGTGACTGCTAATTATAACTAACCAATCATGTGCTTGGTACAAATTTTGTACCAAAGGAAGAGAGATTTGTATTGCGTGCCACCAGAGGTTCTCTTCGCTTCGCGTAAAATAAATACGAGCGGGAATAAGGCGAAAGATACAGAACCTCTGGCAACCAGCGTAGCGAACCTGTTGCTTTATACTGGAATTTCCCTGTTTAGCTTCAGCACAAACTTTGCGTAACAATTCACCTCATGCCTTTTTGTTCCTTTGAAATGTAGGAGACAATATACATTGCACATGCATAAACATCAAGCACAAACTGAATGTCCATGTTAGCTCGCCATGCTTGGAGACATGCAGGTACAAGGCCCTGTATTGGGACGAGGCCCAGTATTGCAATGATGATGTTCAGGTATTACCTTGGCACAAGGGTCTGCATTGGAATGAGGCCAGGTATTGGGACAAGGCTCTGTAATGGGATAAGACCCAGTGTTGGGATGAGACACAATATTGGGACAAGGCCCTGTATATTTTGGACGAGGCCCGGTATTGCAATGATGTACATTGGCACAAGGGCCGGCATTGGAATGAAGCCAGGTATTGGGACAAGGCCCTGTAATGCGACAAGGCCCAGTGTTGGAATCATACACAGCATTGGGACAAGGCCCTGTTTTGGGACGAGGCCCTGTATACTTGGGACAAGGCTCGGTATTGGGACAAAGCCCAGAATTGGTATGAAATTTGGTGTTGGGACAAGGCCCAAAATTGAGTGGCTTGGTACTGGTGCCAGGCCTGATACTAGTGCCAGGGCTGGTACTCGGAGGTCTGGTACTGGGATGGCATCCAGTTTCATTGCACAACTGAAGCAGTAATTCATGTTTAGGACACTGTAAAAGGGCATGACATCTAAAAGAGAAATATTTACTTTGATCATGATCAGTTGTCTATTAAAATATAGTCTTAAATGCACTATATTAAATTTGTGGAGAACCACAATGCATCAAAATTCTCACGGCTGAGATGGGAGCCAACTGAACGCTGAACTCAAGAGCCAGGGAAAAACAACATTTAATTTTGTTAGTTTTACAAGCAAAATCAAATAAATGGAACAAAGCTACAGCTATTTACAAGTAACTGTTTCCATTGCAAACACTGGTGCTGCAAATTGGCTGGACCTTAGGCTTAGCAAGATCATTTTGGATATTATAACAAGGGAAAGGTTAGTGTGGATTTCAAATTGACAAATAAAACACAGGTTTGAAATGTAAACATTCCTAGCTAGGGGTGAAATGTAGTCAAAAACTCAAAATACTGGCACCAAGCACGCTTGCAAAAGAACACAACCTATTATAATAACTTTACATCTACTAACATATTAATACCATGAACACTGTTTATACATGGATTCACATGCACGGAATAGTTCCAACTTTTCTGCTCGTTCACAGATAAGACAATATTAAATTAAATTATCATATATAGTAGTGTCAACAAAATATAAATAGTGCGCAGCTAAAACATCAAAGACAAAGTCTTGAAAAAACTGCCCATGTCTCAGTCACATGTCTCAGTTACAAGTTCATTGCATTGCATTGCAAGAAGTTACAATGTTATCATCCTTAAACATAATTTCGAGGTCTGTCAACTCCAATAACTTCTCGCTTATATCTTCTTCTGTCAACTCATTCACATTCGGCTTATCAACTAACTTTCCCAGGACATCGCTAAAAATTGTGAGTTGAATTTCACTGTCATCTTTTTGAACAGTGAGCTGACAAGAAACATCGATGTTACAATCTGCCAACTGCATTCTATGCGAACATCGCATGCATTTCACAATTTTAGTGCGCAAGCCTTAGGAAAGCTTTTTGTTACAATGATTACAAGTATGATACTTATTGACTTCTACCGACCTGATAGATTGCACAAATAATGTGGTTTCGCTTGGCTCTTCTGCATCTTCTGCAGCCAGTGGCACAATTTAGTCCCGCTATGCAAATTCAAAATTATTATCATTGTTCATTTCTTTAGAAATTGATTGTTTTCACAGTCAATGAACACGAAAATATTTGCATAGCGGGACTAAATCATCGGGCTGGCTACGCTACTGTCTGCAGTGCTACAGATTCTTCTACCTCTTCCATGTCATCATCATCAACAAGAGTAAACACTGAATTTTTAGTTGTGGTGAGTGTCTTGGTCACGTAGCTGGAGTTGACTTTAACATCATCAATAATGTACACTTTGCTATCTTGTATGGCATCAATCTCGCTCTCCCAAATAGTCAGAAACATAGTGCTTGTGCCATCAGTAATCGTGCTTTTGAGCATTCGAAGACCTCTGTTTCCAACGGACTCCACTTTGCTTCCTTTCTTTATCTTCCCCTTAACGCGAATCTTCTCGTCAGCTTCGATCTTTTCTTTTACTTCTTTCAGTGGTACGAGTCTGGATTCCTCATCAGGAATATACTGGAAATTGTACTGCGAGGTGGTAGGTGCGCTAACAACAGTCATGTCATTAACTTTAATTTCTTGTTTGTCACCTTGCCAGCTTGGTCCGATGAGATAGTTACTGATCTGAACAGGACTAAGCATCTCTTGCTTTTCCTGGAAGATGTCTCGTTTTGCCTTTGAAAAGCAAACAACCCTCATACGTTTATCTTTCATTTGCAACTCCAAGTCGCACCATTTCTTCTTTTTTCCTTGCTTTAGGGGAGAAAGTTTATGCACATATCCGATTACAGGACTTGTCGCTAATTTGGAACTCATTTTGCTATTTATATGTGTACAAACACTCTGTTCTTGACGTTTACTGCGTATTGTGCGATGTTTGCGAAAACCGGGAATATTTATTGGCTAAACACATCACCTGACCAACACGTCACAAGCGCTATCTGCTTGTCTATTGGCCTTTTGACATTGTGATTGACAGCTAATTTGTCGAGTGAGAAAAATTCGTATCACAACACACGACAAAACGTAAAAATAGATCTGATTCAGACCAAGATCCCCTCCCTTTATTTATAAAAGGAATAACACAAGGGAGAATGCGAATAGATTTTTGGACTCTTTAAGGTCATCCGAATGGAGTTCAGTATTCTCCACATCTGACCCAAACTCTGCCTATACCCTTTTTTCTGATCACATTAATACCTTGTATAATCAGCATATTCCATTAACAAAGGTTAAACTAACAAAACACCAATCCCGAAAGCCCTGGATAACACAGGGATTAATTAAATCTATCAAACTTAAAAATAAACTCTACAGCAAATTCCTGGAAAATAGGACAGCCAAATATGAACAAAAGTACAAAATATACAGGAATAAACTTAATCATCTTCTCAGGATAGCTAAAAAACATTTTATAATCATAAATTCAAATCTGTTAAAACCAGCATTAAAGCTACCTGGAAAACTCCGAAAGAACTATTAAATAAATCTAAACCTCTGCTCAATTATCCCAATTCATTTACCCATAACAATAGCAATATCACAAATCCTGAAATGATCGCCAATACCTTCAATGATTACTTTGTAAATGTTGGTACTAACCTTGCTTCTAAAATTCCATATACTCAAAGAAAATTCACTCAGTTCTTAACAGGGTCTTACCCCAGCTCTTCTGTATTCTACCCTACTGATGATAATGAAATATTTGCTATAATAAGAGATCTTAATCCTAATAAATCACCAGGTCCAGACTGTCTAGATCCTTTTGTAATCAAACAGGCTGCAGAGCCACTTGCATCCATTCTTTCATACATTTAAAATATATCAATGGAGTCGGGCAGAGTACCTGACCAACTTAAAGTTGCCAAAGTCCTCCCCATTTTCAAAGCTGATGACAACAAAAAATTCTCTAACTATCATCCCATATCAATACTCCCAATTTTTCTAAAATTCTTGAAAGAGTTGTCTATGTAAGACTCATAAAATATCTTACTAAACACAACATTCTTTCTGATAATCAGTTTGGATTCAGAAAAAATCATTCAACCTTTATGGCAGTTTTGGACTTAATTGATAACCTCTCAAACTCAATTGATAAAAAAGAATTTTCTGTAGGTGTATTCATTGATTTTAGTAAGGCATTTGTTACTGTGAACCACAAAATTCTTATCGAGAAACTTAGTCACTATGGGATAAGAGGAACACCATTACTTTGGTTCTCAGATTACCTTTCTAATAGGAAACAATTCATTAAATTCAATAATATACTGTCAACGCATAAAACTATCGTTTGCGGAGTTCCTCAGGGGTCCATACTTGGACCTCTATTATTCCTTATATAGGTGAATGATATTTCTAACTGCTCTTCCCTTTTAAAAGTAATCCTGTTTGCAGACGACACAAGTCTCTTTTCTTCAGGGAAAGACCTTAATAAACTGATACAGATTACAAACCAAGAGCTCAGTGTTATAGCCACCTGGTTTAAATCAAACAAACTTTCGTTAAATCTGAAGAAAACCAAATGTATTATTTTCTGTGCTAGAAACAAGTACTATACAAAAACAACTGATATTAAGATAGATAACAAACTCGTCGAACAGGTTAGTTCTATAACATTCCTTGGTGTTCATATTCATGAAAATCTTGATTGGAAGCCACATATCAATAGCGTTTCTCTAAAAATGTCAAAATCCATGGGTGTTATAAATAAAATTAAGTCATTAATTTCAGCCACAGCACGTCGATCACTATACTGCACGCTTGTGTTACCATATATAATATTGTAACATTATCTGGGCTAAAACATATAGTACAAATTTAGAAAAAAATTTTAAACTACAAAAACGTATGATACGAATAATTGCTAACGTTGGATGTAGAGACCACACAAAGCCCTTATTCTATAAGCTGAAATTATTGACTGTTTATGACATAAATAAATACCAAACTGGAGCCTTTATATTTAGATGCATTAACTACCCTCGTACTCTTCCACCTATCTTCCAAACCTACTTTGTTCATAATGATGAAATTCATAACTATAATACCAGAACTGCCAGCAAATTACATATCACTCAAGTAAGAACCACAACTAGAAAAATGACCCTAAGACAAAGCGGGACCCTATTCTGGAATTCGCTTGATGACACTATCACGCTGTCAAAAACATTAAAATCATTTCAAAAAAAGCTCAAATATTTATTGTTTGATAAAATGATGAAAAGCTGAATTAGTTTATTTTGGATAAGAAACCCTGCTCAGTTTGTACTCGACCTTGGTAAGACTGGTGATTGGCATTCTCTACAAACTCCCTGGAGTTTTCTTCTGCCAATCTCCATCCATATTACATTTTACTCTTTCCTTCTATTTTATAATTAAATTTATAACTTTTTCGTTATAATATGTATCCGTCTGTAACACTCTGCTTTTAATAAAACTGTAAAATCCATAACCACAAATCCTAGAAAAGACATGCATTTCTTAAGAAAAAGGGTTTCTTACAAAAGATTAAATTAGTTTTTTAATTAAACGACTTTTCATTCTCGTTAAAATGTTAAAAACAGTTAGGCTACCATGATGTCTCACGGCACAATTATAAAGAGGCGACAATTCCCAATGTGAATAATGTTGCATGAAATTTGATTGGGTAGGCAACAATTTATCACTTATTTACTGAGACCGAGGGAAACAGTGTGTTTTGTGGACCCGAGACCATCGATGTTTCCCGAGGCGAAGCCGAGGAGAACATCGACTGTCGAGGGTCCGCAAAACACACTGCTTTCCCGAGGTCTCAGTAAATAAGTGTTTTATTATATATCAATAGTCAAAGAAACAACAAATTAAAGAACAAATGAACGTAAATACATGAAATATTTTATTGTTAAAACGTTATATTAAACACTGGCTACACTGCAGTTACTTAAAGCGAAAGTTTTAATTACGTACTAGGCATGTCTAAAGGTCGCATCTTCACGTGATGGCCCACGTGATTTTTTTTGTTATTCGCCGGTCGATAACGTATTATCTCCCTCTCGCGCTGTTGCGAGGGAGACAGCCTAATTTCGTCACTCTCACGTGATATGTTCTCAAACAATAAAACACTAGAAAAATGCGACTTTGACTATTGATATATAATAATATCACTTATTTACTGAGACCGAGGGAAACAGTGTGTTTTTTGTGGACCCGAGACCGTCGATGTTGCCCAAGGCGAAGCCGGCAGTCGAGGGGCCACAAAACACACTGCTTTCCCGAAGTCTCAGTAAATAAGTGTTTTGTCAAAGTATGAATAGTTCACCGGTTATTGGAGTGCACTTAATTTGAAACCAAAAATGGAATGCCGTAAATGTTTATTAAAAAGTTTAAAAATTGAACTTTGGAACTTCATGGTTGACACGCATGCGTATTACGCCCATTTTATTATTGACCAGTCAATAAATGTTTCATTGCGGACTGGTTGTCGAATATGACGTTTTGTGGACCAGCACGTGACACAGTTTTGACCAATCGGCAAACAGAAAAATTGAACTTTGACACTAACTATATAACAACTTGCATTGTCCCGTGGTACAACGCATGAATTGTTTTACGCGTTTGCTTCGTAGGTATATCGAGTATTAAATCCGTTGGATTATTATAGTCACAGCTGGTTGTGATTACTGCGTCACATGAAAACTATAATCAGTCAAGAAGCTATGTTTTCACCGCTACCGTGCATTCATGGAAAAAGCCGGAAAACAATCTTGCATGTGTAACGTACCAAGCGCTCTCGATTAAGATTCCAAAATCATCTGCGTTGGAATGTAAACAAAGACATATAATGCCAAATGTGCTTCTATTTAATGCGCGATTAATTTTCCAAAAAAACTGAACTTGTGGTTGTGATTGAGCAACATAAATCAGATATTATACTAGTGACCGAAACGTGGCTGACAGACGTTGTGCCGGACCAATCAGTGAACATCGCTGGTTTTAATCTAAAAGGGAAGGATAGAACGATTAGAAGAGGTGGTGCATGGCGTTGCAATCTATGTTAAAGAAACTATACCTCTAAAAGTCCGGTTTGACCTATCTAACGAAGACTTCGAATGCCTATGGATTATTTTGTGGCCGAAATGGCTACCTCGATCGATATCAAGAATTGCAGTTGCATGCGTTTATATTCCTCCATCTATAGATCAGGAGAACTTGAACAGATTTTATAAGTACTTTTGTTATTGTTATGATATGTTGAAATCAGAAAACCCAAATACGTCAATAATAGCTGCTGGTGATTTTAATCTTGCAAGTAATGGCTTCAGCACGAAGATCATTAACTATCAGACAATGCCACTTGAAACAAGACATCAAAATACCTACTAGATATTCGGCAATTCTTGACCTTGTTTTGACGGACATTCATAAATTCTACCAAGCCCCACTTGTACTTTAGCCCCAATTGGTACCTCAGACCACTGTACAATTATATGGTCATCACAAGAACAAATGAAGCACAAGCAAAAGTCAACAAGATCGCTGAAATCCTCGTCACTACAAGCCTTTGAACAGTATATTAGTGAATATAACTGGTCACTCGTGCAGTGTTAATTTTAGGGTGTTAAAATAACACCAAAAAGTGGTGTTAAAAAATTAGGTAAAAAATGACACTACTTTTTGGTGCTATTTTAACACCACTAAAAAAGTGTTAAAATAACACTAGATATGGTGCTAAAACAATACCTATTTTTAGTGTTAAATTAGCACTAGTTTTTGGGGTTAATTTAACACCTGTTTATAGTGTTAAACTAACACCACTTTTAAGTGCTAAAGTGACACCA